AGTATCATTAAGAGTTTCAAGTGCCTAGTTTACAGTATCATTAAGAGTTTCAAGTGTCTAGTATGTGCAGTGTCATTCAGTTTTACAAGTGTCTAGTTTACAGTATCATTAAGAGTTTCAAGTGTCTAGTATGTGCAGTGCCATTCAGTTTTACAATTGCCTAGTGTTCGTGTAATATCAGTCAGTGCTGTAAGTGTTTAGTGTGTGTAATACCATTCTATAATGTAAGTGTCTAGTGTACGTAGTAGCATCGTTAATTATTCTGTGTTCAGTGTTTTGAGTACTAGTAACTTGTTTTGTAACAAATATCAGTCTGAGATACTGTTTAACACATTTCTCTAACCCGAGAATTATTAACAATAAACATACACCATGATACTATTTTATTAGCTGAACATCCGCCATTCCACGACACAAAGTTTATTAAATTTTACGGTTTTCTTAGAGATGTCTTCTTTGCTTGAAACGTATCGTGCTAATTCACTTGGATGTAGGATCTTGGATCTCAGTAGGCCCTGTTGAAAGGTTGGTTGGTTACTGTGATTAGATGGAAGCATATCGATCAAGTCGCCAAATTTTCACATCATGCATGTGTTAACAGTCTACATGTCCAATACAACAGCTCTAGCTGCAAGGTTTTTCATACAAATAGAGCAAGACGGCGTCGTGAGCATAGAAGCAGAGCTTTCTAGGCGTTAATTAAGTTGGGAAAGAAAATGATGTATCAAGAATAAATTACCTTCATGCCGATGAAAATAATAACAAAAAAATACAGCGAAAACCTAGTATTAAGCCTAGATTTATAATAAAAAAGCGTTCGCGAAAATGTAATGTGTTTTCCAATTCGAATAATGAATGGTTTTAACATGTACTAGAAATCCTATTGCGCTTGCGGCGATTCTGCAACACATTAAAGAATGGTTTCTAATCATTAGTCAGGATATCTAAAGTATAATGACATCGCAGCAGTAGTCTTAAAGACGGACAAGCAAACCACAAATGAAAATTTGGATTGGTTCTTGTCCAGGCACGTGACGATTTCCAGTTCCAGCCCATGAATTGTGACGATCAAAAAATCAAAACAATTACATGAACAGCTATAACCAAAGATATCCTGTGGAGACAAAGACCGTGAACAGGTAGGTGACACTGGAATTTGGTTTTCATGAGAGCATCTTAAACAGATTGCGTTCTGTTCAAATAGCTTCTGTGCACTTCATTCAGCTGATTTATGGCCAATTAATGATCCTCCGTTAAGCCTTAAACTATGGCGTTATATCGGTTTTTCGAGTGCTTTATTCTGTGAGGTATTATCGAGTTCTTCTACATTGATATTGGTACTAAACGTCAGTCTCCGCAGTCGAAACACGTGTCGCGCTCGTAAATAAGATTTAAATGTATGATCAGGTTTACAACGTGCTAACATATACTCTCAGAAGACAAGCATTGCATGACAAAAATGATCACGTGAATCAAGTCTCCAAGGAGGTCTTGTATCATGGTTTGAGAGAGTAAAATCGTCTCTCTCTTATGTAGATGTCGCATCTATTTCTTGAGCCACGTGGATCGGAAGCATCTTCCGTTGTCGCGGTTACAATTCCCTGCCCGGTGACCTCATAATGATGTCACACTACACGTGCTAGCAGGTCGAAATTTAAAGCCTGTTGTAAAACTTGGTTCGTTGTAAACCAGTTGGGGCTGGATCTAAGTTTACTACACATCCCTGATCTCGACTGGCAGTTGAAATCGCTTGTTGTTTGTATTACAGCCCAACAGATGCTGATTGATTAGCTTCATGATGGAAAACATATGACACCATCTTTTCGTGGAGAAGCAACATTCTAAAAACAACAACAACAACAAAAAACGCGTCACTTGTTTTAACATCAAGCCACTTTAAAACCATTGTAAAACGGTTTTTAGGACCACAAATAGTGACAATAAACATGGCTATTTTAACTAGTTAAACCAGCTGCTGAGCATAACTTTCAACTGTTTGAAGCAGACAAAGTGAAATGATCACGAAAACACTTGTTAAGACGTCTTCTTGTTCTGCTTAAAACTTAACTCCATACAAATATACAGTTAGGTATGAGTATTCCAGAGATGGGTAAATAATGACATCAATCATTACTACGTGTCTACGTTAGTATATCTAATATTGCTTTGATGAGTTCTTCTTTTAGATTCTATTTAATGGATATACTTATATAACATTATTTTCGATTTCTCATTGTTTTATTTTTTCATTTTATTTCATGCATAACCTGAGCTCTTACAACCTTTATATGTAGAAATCATTTTATTTTATGAAGTTTTGTATTTGATCTGTTCCTATTTCTGCGACTGCTTTAATTCGATGTATTTTATAAATACATCTATATACAATAGTAGTCACAACTCGAAATGCTCATACAGCCCCTAATTAATATTTCAATATTTGTATATGTGTGTGTGTGTGTCATAATTCATCTATTGTCTACTTCAGAAAACATGTCTTCTAATACTAGTTAGTTTACTCAAATATATCACAGAAATAAACAATGTTAACTTTATTTTTTTAAGAATTATACAACGATAATTTTGTAAGCAACTTTGAGTGATAAAATGGTACAGTGTGCAAATGATCTACTTGGCGTGTAGATTGTTTTATGTCATATATTTGTGGTTTTACACATACAGGCTGGGCAGGGTACTTTTGTAGAATGATTATTCGTTCCTTCATTATTCTTTTTATAAGTAAAACCACTAGATCAATTTTACTTCTTTATATTCACGATTTTTAAAATTAACTGTTGCTATCGGTGTTTGATTATCGAATTAAACCAGTCAGATATTCATATTTTTATTATTATGCTGTATAGCTATTCTTTTAATTATTTATACATATAAACTGAAAAAAACTAAATAATTAAACGCATGTATAATGAAGAACTTCCTACGATATCGTGTATTTTTCTTTAGATAAGAAAGGACATCTATGATTTGTCGAAACTACTATAACAAAAAATCTTCAGCAGGGGTGTATCAACGAACGCTTGCTTGATATCTGTAATCAGTAGTGCGAGAGAAAATTACCTGCAATTTTGGTGTCATTGCAAGAGCCCTGTCATTGGTGGGAGACCGAGAGAGGTCTTATCGGGACCTTCAGTACTTTTGCATGCAAAACCACTGTCTAAAATGCAAATAGTAACAAAGATTTGCTTTATGCTTGACAAACACCCCTTTATTATGTAGCTGAAAACATGATCATCTCTGGTCTACCTGCCAATGGCGTAAGACTGCATACTCCTGACGTGACTGTACTGTAATCTCTTAGAAAGTGTTTCTTTTGGAGAGCTGGCTCCATGCGCATTTCATTCCTACGCCTTACATCAATAATCTACCCGCTGTAATTTGGCATGAACAAAAAATAAAACAGGACTGATCACAGAGGCGTGAGCATCTGTAACCAATCACAGGCTCGTGGAACCTGACGGGTAACAGAAGAATCGTGGCAATTTTTATGGGGATTTCTGAAGTACGTTTAGAAAATCATGGGTCAGATTCATCTTGTAATGCCAATCTGTACGATGCATGAGAATTCTGACCACAAAGTGAGCCACTAGAGTGTGTTGAGATAAGGTCTTGCCTGACTGTAGCCTGCGAAGTACGACAAGTGTAGTCTACCACTAGAGTAGTGAGTTACTTTATTGGTGGTTTGATTTATTATTGTTCAAATGAATTTTTAATTTAATTTTTATAGATCAGCTATCATCAGTTCAAATGCAGATATCTTTATTATACAGTTTTATGCCTCACATAAAATAATTTAGAAAAATACTATTAAAATTCAAACAGAATTAAACTGTTTGAAGTAAAAAAAAAACTTGATATTAAGTTAACATGTGGTTGAGCTTTGAAGAATGTATATGATTTTATTAGCACGTTTGTCCCTACAGATGTATCTGCTATACTGATATCATTGTAGTTCAAAATTACAACCCAGTTAGTAAAGTGTGCAACACAATGTTGATACTTTTCAACACAAACTCAACGTTAATTGGCTGCGTGTTATACTTTTAAACGTCAAACTTTATGTTAATTGACTGTGTGCAACGAAGATTAGCAACTTAGATAATACACCAACATGACAAATGGGGAGATTTTCTGAAATAATTAAACTATATCATTTGGGTTTATTTTTCGTATTATAAAACTCATTCCTTGAATAATGTGTTGTTTGCATAAAGGTTAAAAATGTACAAACTTAGCTGTAAATGATTACTGCATATATAACCAATCTTTGTAGGCAAAAATAAATTTTGAAAAAGACTTATTGCGCTCTAAATTTCTTAACCTTATCTTTTTTTCTCAGGTTGGTAATAGGTTTGACTATTGAATTAAGTTCCACTTTTTAGAGTATCTGCGTAGTGCACCTTCTGCTTAACGTAGCACGCAATTTTACCTTGCTTTGCGTGAGAAGCGGCAATCCCCGGGCCAGTGGTGAAGGAACTCCACGATATCCTACTGAATTAAATTTATGTCTTTTCCAACACCCCTGGGCAATATTTTATTACTTTCTTCGCAGGAAAGTATCAAATATTATAAATGGTCAAATTTAGAAACAAACATCTTTGAGAAGGCTCAGTAGTATGCTATAGGCTTTAAGAAATAAAAGTAAAATAATGATAATGTTAAGCGGTTTTAGCAAAGTTGGTAATTGTGGTTAGTATTAAATTCATTGTCCACTGAATTAGTATTCTTCACGTAATGGTAAATGAATTGCTAGAAACTAAGTGTTAAAAATATTTACTGTCTTCCACTCATCTCATGGCAACCTTTGGTCACTCCCCACTGGTCAGCCATGTCCTCGTCTATTAGTCAGTTTTAAAAAAACTGTGTTATTTGACAAACGACTCTGATATCATAAGTCTTGCTTTACACATGTTGTCTTAATTTCGACTATATACTTTATTCAACGTCTGTTTAATTTGTGTCACGTTCCTACTCTTTTTCAGGGGTGGATAGCTGGAGAACTCCCATTGGTTGTCCTGTACAAGAAACACCAAATCCAAACTCATCACGCTTGCGCAGACATCTCAAACTACAGGACTTTCTCGTTTAGTGTGATTCTGCATCTAACTAGCCACAAATCATCAGAGCATGAACTCATATTTTACAAACTCGTACCTCACTGACTTACGAACTGGCGACCACTACAACAGCCAGCCAGTACACACCCAGCCTAACGGTGAGTCGTGTGAACAGGCTGCACGTCAGTACTTGGCTCATGCACAATACGGCTCGTCCCCTACCCAGGGAGCAGGTACTTATCCACGCTTCCCTCCTTATGACCGTTTGGAAATTCGACCGATCACCTCATCTCCAAATTCTCCCAGTCCTCCTGGAACTTATTATGGGAACCACTGTGGTCAACAACCACCCGGACCACCGGTTCTTCCCCATCCACCTCAACCGGCTCATCAACCACCTCACCCTCATGGACCGTTAACGCACCCAAATGCTTATGTCCCTCAACAAGATGGACAGAACTGTAGAGGGTCACCTAACGACACTGGACCTCAACACCAAAACATGACTCAGTATCCAAGCTGTAAGATGCAACAACAGCTTCATCATGACCCGAACGGCGTGCCCAGGCCCGTATCATCCGAGTGTCCCACCAACATGCACCAGCAGCCCTGCCAGAGTCCTCTTCATTCTGGCCCCCCTCAGCAACATATGTACTCACCACCGGCGAATAACCCTCCCAACGCTCTTTCCCCTACAAGCCAGCCTCCGTCATCCGGGGCTCTCCCAAGCCCCCTCTACCCCTGGATGAGAAGTCAGTTTGGTAGGTACCGATCAATAGATTGATTTCCTATACTCGTTTTTGATCGACCATGATACCACCCAGTTTCTCTGTACGCTACGTGTAGGTGTGGTGGGTGGAATGTAAAAGTGAACGCCCATTAGCTGTTGTTTCCTGGTGTGCTTTTTCCCATACTGTGCCGACAAGGGAGAAAGTGTGGCAGCTGTCATTAAACGTAGATTACAGGAAAGGGTGAAATTTAATGGACCTGATTTATCTCTTTCCAACAAAACACAGAGGTTTTATGACTCAGTAAAAAGCATTAACACACACTTACATAAGCGACAATTCTCAGAAATTCAAATTGTGAAAATAGGAACAGGATAGTTTCATAAAACATCAACAACGGTAAAACAACTTTGAAAAGTTCGCAACTAGGCTACCATTCAAATAGAAACAACTGTGTTTTATAAACATTTAAAACCGATAACATTAAACTTACCGAGATCATAGTTTCTATGAAGATGTACATGTAACAAGATCATGTTTTATCATCTCTGATTTAACAAACAAAAGAAGAGTAGCCATACACGTTTAACAATATAAAAATATATGCTGAAATTAAAAATCAAAAAGTAATTAATTTTGAAAAAATACAAACCTAACCCGTGTTACTTATATATTTTAATAAACTAATAATGTATTCACACCACCGTTAATAACATATTATCAAACCATCCTTTAACGTTTGTCATTCATAAACACCATATTCTCTTAAATTAAGAGAAAATTAAATTATTTTACATTATTATCATATATAAAGAATATTAAAATATAAGTAATGTTTAGTAGATAATACATATTTTCCTGATATTTCTGAATAGAAAAACAACAACAAAAAATACAAACTAACAACGGGTTTCAAACAGTTGGACATCTATCTGTGAGAGCAAGAGGTATTAAGGACGTTACATTTCATAAGCCATTATTCGGCAACTTGTTAAATCTGAAACATAAAGTATACATTTTTCAAAAGGTTTAGTTTGTAGCAGATTAACATATGTTCATAGAGAGGTACGTATTGCGTATGTGTGCATGTACGTTTGATATGCATCCTAATAATTTCTTTAACTGCTGATATATTTTTTTATTTCTTAAGCCTTTTCGTAAGACTCGCCTAAAATACACAGCTGTGCATGTGTCTCTTAAAGTAGGTAGAAGTTATAAAAATATGTACATTGGTAACTGCTAACAAAAGTGAAACTCCAACATTCAAATACTCTATGTTCCCACTATTCTATATTGAATCAACTTATCTTGAGAAGGTAATGTAATTAATATTCAAGACACATGCTATGATCACTTTAAAAATAAAATAATTTCACTCCGTTAGGCTTAAGTTATACAGTTCGACTTAACTTCACCAGTGAAATTTATGATGGTTAAAGTGAAGCAATTCAAATAGTTTTACACAAACACACAAAAGTTATTATCTAAATTCTCATTAGTATCTGTGCATTTTGGTTTTTGATAAAAATGATAAATATTTTAACAAAAGTTCATAATCTTTTCTACCAAGTATCTTCCCCACAGCAGCTACAGAAAAAATGTAATATTGTAATAATCATGTTTGTTGTCTTAGATGAATATATTCTCAAGTTTACCATCAACGAACTGAGGACGTTTCTGTATTCAAATTTATCGAGAAATATAATAAAACTCAGTATTTCGTGTAAATTTATCATAAAGCAAATGTATTTTACTGTATGTAAGAACATATTTGTTTCAGTAAAACTGATAACATTATTTTCTTAAAAATATTACCACAAAACATATATTGAAAGTAATAAACATACGATTTAGAGATGTTTTCTATCAGCTTACAGAAGACTCTGGGTTTATTTACAGTGCAGCGAGTTATTGGCACCGCAGCACTGATGAGCAATTGTGCTTTGTTTTCAAACAACAATTTCAAAGTGAACATTTTGTTTAAAGCAGAAATACAGCTGCTGTTCTCTTTATAATAACTTCTATTTTAGCTTATGAATTTTAGGCATATATATATATAAGAGTGTATATAGCTATTTCCACATATAATTAGATTGTTGCTAGGCTTAATAATTACGTTACTTGGACGGTTTATGTCGCATAATTTAACGAATTCTAACTTTACTTTGGTAAATTGAAACTAAAACATTAGGCCTATATATATGTATAAGTATGTGTAAAGCTATTTCCTGATAAAATTAGGTTGTTGCCTAGGCTTAATACTTACGTTACGTTGGTGTAGCATAAGTTAACGAATTCTAACTTTACTTGGTAAATTGAAACTATAATATTAGGCCTATATATATATATATAAGTGTGTGCATAGCTATTTCCAAATAAAATTAGGTTGTTGCCTAGGCTTAAGTTAACGAATTCTAACTTTACTTGGTAAATTGAAACTATAACAATCTGTTTTTATGTGTCACGAGAGTTTTATGTGATCTTTGAATGAAATACTTTCTATTCTGTTCCCATGTAGTTGTGGAAGTTAAGATTGATGCTGTTTAACATAAAACCAACACAAGCCATGCCATGCTCTATAACAGAATTCAGACTTATACGTAGTTATTTGTGAGTTTCTTCTAGCAATACATGAAGGTCAGTTAACCATAAATGGATAGTGTTTTTAGATTGTAACAGAGAATTATTGGTTTTGAAGAAATAATAGTTGAAAAGCTAAGTTTTACAAATTCGGTATTATATTTTCGCTGTTTAAAAAAATATAAACCTTACTTTATAAAGTTTGAGCGTTTGTTATTGCAACGTATTTCTAATCCACAAAAATATATTAATTTTGTCATTGTAATTTTACTAAATCATTACTCAACACCCAATATTTCAATAAGCGTTTAAGAAATGAACATAAATTAAGCTATTATATCTATATTTGTTTATGATTTGGTTAGGCCTGTGGTGTTAAATACACGAAATATTCTACTTATAAAATACGTTTGTTAAATTTATGTTCAATAGATGTTACCATGTTAAGACTTTCTTGGCATAAAACAAATTTAGTTTTTAGCTTCATAATTTAAGTGTATATATATTCAAAACATCTTAAAGCGAAATAAAACTATCATTGAAGTAAAATTTACTTATACCTACTTTCTCTGAACTTTATCCTTAACATAAGTTGTTATAAATACGTTTATCCTTAAGTTGTTTTTTTTATTTTCTCCTGTTTTAGTCAGGTTTTTTATACTAAACTTTCTACGACAAAAGCAGTTCTTATTGTCTACTTACTTTCGTTTTGAAGTTTATGTACAGCATGTGTCATTATTCTATACTTTCTATCAAGAAAATACTCCTTGCCTCCTTACTTTTTCTACGTTTGTGTAAAAGGTGTGCTAATTATTACACCAAATTTTGTATCCACTCAACACATGCATAATAATTATTGTTTCTTTACCTATGTTAAATTTACGTACAACACGTGGCTTTCGTTAAGTTTGTACAAAACACGTGTTGGTTATGACACCAGACTATATATCCACATACACACACACACACACACATGAAATGTTATTATTGCCTCTTTACATTTGTTAAATGTGAATACAACATACGCTTTTTACACCAACATTTGTATCCAGAAAAAAAATGTCATTTTACCTCTTATTTTTTGTCAACTTTATACAAAACTTTCTACACCAAAGCTACTAATATTCTTCCTTATTTTTCCTAATCCTATATATTGTATGTAGTTTTTGTTAAGTTTCTGTGGAATATGTGTCAACGATTACATTAAACTTTGTATCCAACTTGCACAAAAATCACTTAGTTTTGTTAAGTTAATTTACAAAATATCTTATTGTTTCTTTCACAAAAGTCTTTCTATCTATAAAAAAAATATTTTTAATTAACGTCTCCCTCCCCACTTTTAATAAATCTACACGCTATATGTGTTACTTTATTTCCTAAGTTTTTACACTCAAATTTCTACACCAAAAATGCTTATGGCCATCTTAGTTTTTAAGTTTACGTATACATAATATAATATGTTAAGCTTATTTTTTACACCAAATTTTCTATCCACAAATATGTTTACTTCTGGTCTCTTAGTTGTTGATTAGCATACGTATTGAATTAGTTTTAAACGGGTTGTTATAATACTACTTCTGAAAACGGTACATATTTAAATACTGCCCACGTCTGTAATTATAATTTTATTTTGAAGAACGAAATTTGCATATGGTATGCTTTATAATCGGTTAACAGCTTTTTTTTTTTATTTTCTTTAAAAGTAGAAAATTTAGTTTGCTTTAAACTTTGTAGAATGGACGGCAACTGCCTGTTCTAGAGACACAAGTGTAGTCTCTACAATTGTTTCTCTACAACAGGCACTTGCTGTCCATTCTACAAAGTTTAATCATGAATACTCTGCCTAAACAATCTATCAAATAATTTAGTTTGCTTGTTTCATTAGTATATTTGCGCACTGTCCACCTCGGGGAATTGAGCACCAAATTTTAACGTTGTAAGCCCACCCACCGGGGGACATTAGAACTAACATCTAGCCTACTACATGTGTGTATTAAAATTCTGAATTATGTTGCTAGATGTAGTTATATTTAGGTTTTAGGCAGGCCTGTGTTACTTGATCATAAAAATAGACATACAGTTCTTGTTGTCTGAGCTGATATTTTATGTTGTTCTTTTTAATTATACTATAGAAATTATTGATGAAACTATCTGTAAGCACCAAAATACGGTAACCTGCACTGAATGCATACCACATTTGCATTTATATAATGATCTGTTAGTGTTTTGTGTCAAGTTACCAAATAAAGTTCAAAGCTGTTATAAATTATAATGGAGTAAGTCAGATAAATTTAATTCGCCATTATTTTGTAAATTCATATATTAAAAGGTGTATATTTAGCTTGTTACGTCATTGATTCCATATGTGGATCTAATCTGTTATGGCGCCGATTCCTTTTGCAGAACTAACTTGTTATAGTATCGATTTTATATGTGGATCTAACTTGTTATGT